GCACAAGACTACCCTTTGTACTGCACATTATAGATATACTTTGCTAATCATTGCAGGTGGAGGCTATGTAATATCACCTGTGAATCAAAAGAAGCAGTCAGTAGTCAAGCATATGCTTGCTATTGATTGGAGATTCTGGAAGTCTAACTTACAAACATCTTCAACCAGATATATAACAATCCACATGCTAGGGAGACTCGCTGGTGTGATTTTACTGCAAGATCTAGTTTCATATTTGTTACTTTTATTCATGTTTGCACATTATGACTGCTCGTGGGGGCTCAACCTGTGATTTACAGCTTTGAGGGAGCTTTTTATAGCAAAATTAGGAGATTGCTCGTCCTCGTATTTTTTGGAGGAGCATGTGAGAGACAAAAGACTGCAACAAATTGAAGAAGTTAAGGTTGAAATACAAACCATAGTGGAAAATGGGAAGAATATGGCAGATATGGAAGAAGAAGTCGCTAAATCACCTTCTGAACATGCAAGCTTGATGGGGTTAAATGATGCATCAGATGAGTTTTTTGATGTCTCTGAACCACTTGATTATGACCAGTCGGAAAATGGCTGGCCTTCTGATTTTGGCCCAGAGATGTACTCTCAGGTATTACCTGCTTAAACCATAATCTTTGGGAGCTATTCTATGAGCAGGTTTCTTTTTATAAATGCAGGAGGCTACATGAGGCATGACTTTCATGATATAAGCATGTCTATATATTGCTACTACTAATGAAAGATGTGAAACTTTCTTTCAACTAGCTTCTACTTGAATGGCACCGTATGTTTTTTTGTGGTTAGTTTATGTCTTTATCCGGTTTTTAAAGCATATACACTTGAATCCAATAAATATGCAGTCTCTTATGACTTCCATGTCTTAGGACGTCAACAATGTTAATACAATAAAGTTCATTTTCTTACCCCCACCCCCAAAGAAAAGCTCCATTTCTCTCGAGTAGTTCCTGATTCCCTTCATTAAACCCTAATGTAGTTGTCGTTTTTGACCTTATCCCCTCTTGCCTAGACCCATCATCTTGTTGCAGAATGCAGATCAGTTCCTCTGGGATTTCCTTGAGAATGATCTTTATGTTTTTTTTATCTTGTTTTAGGACACACGGCATGCCAGATTATCATCTGCTGCTGGTTTTGTGAAAAAGTTGCATGATCTGGCTGGTGAGTTTGATCTGTATTGCTATTTCGAAAAACTCAATTAATGGAAATGTTGAAGTTCTGAGGATTGATATTCCTTTCCCACTTCAGTTCACAAGCGGGGTTATGTAGATCTGCATGAAAAGGCAAAGGAAGATGCATTGTTGTGCCACTATGGGTCCACTCTTCCAAAAGATCCAACTTTTAATTTGCCTTGCAGTTGGGCCCAAACAGATCCGTCAACTTTTCTTATTCGGGGAGAGACTTATCTAGAAGATCGTAAGAAGGTGGGATTTCATAGCTGTCTTATTTTTCCCATAAGCATGTTCTGATTCATTTTTGTGTGGTCCATCTCTGATTCATTTGACCTTGGAAACTAGAAATGCTTTCCTTTGTTAAATTGATACCTGTGGTTTGATGTTCCTGCTGTCTGATTAATTTTTTGAACCTTACCTACTGATCACTCTCGGCAAAAGCCACATCTTGCTGTACCACAATCGAGTGTTGGTTAAATTGCATTAACCAAAACTCCATTGTTTGCGATTCCTGTCAATAAAATATGTCTAAAATGGCATACCAGCATGGAAACTTTACTTTAAAAAATCTGCAGGCTTCTTGGCTAGTATCTGCTATGATAGCATGCATGAGATATTGTGGGCTCTTTCCCTAACTCATGTCAAAATTTGTTTAGTCCAAAATTGTATTGCAAAGTTATGTGTGTTGTCCTAATTTTATGTAATTTACTGGTTGTGTGGCTCTGTTACAGATTAAGGCTAAAGGCACGTTGATGCAAATGGTTGCTGCAGATTGGCTGAAGTCTGACAAGCGAGAAGATGATCTTGGTGGTCGTCCTGGGAGCATTGTTCAGGTTGCTTCTCTTATTCTGTGTGAAGACAATGAACATACATACACATGTCGTTTATAAACCTGCTGCTTACCAACTTTTATCTGCAGAAATATGCAGCTAAGGGTGGTCCAGAATTTTTCTTCATTGTGAATATACAGGTATATTCTCTTGCTTCCTTTATATACCTTTTCTGCTTTCCTTTGGAGTTCCAAAGAGTTCATTTAGTTGAACATACATTCAGGTACCAGGTTCAACAACATACACTCTTGCTCTCTACTATATGATGGACACTCCTATAGAAAACGCGCCCTTGCTGGAGAGTTTTGTCAAAGGGGATGATGCTTTTAGAAATTCAAGGTTCAAGCTCATACCATACATATCCAAGGTTTGTATTCTGATCATTGAGATTGAACATAATCACTTTTTTACAAGGTTTAATAATATTTATTTTTATTTAAGTTGTTTAATGAGTTAGCGAAAAGCTATGGCATGCCAGCAGTCTTGTGGCCTTTGCACTGATCCATGCTTTTGGTAATGGTTGGTGGTAGCACTTTTTTCCTTTAATAACCTTTGAGCTTGCAGATAAATACTGCACAGAAACAAGTTGCTCTCAAGAAGGAAAACTGAACCCTTCTTTGGTAAATATAACTAATAAATCTTTAAGCAAACCCCCAACCCCACCCTAGTTTACTTTCTCTATTCCGAAACAATGATACTTTTTACTTCTCTGTGGTCAAATTTTGCAACTACCCAAGAAATTATATTGATGATCATGGAGAAATCCAAAAAGATGGTCAGATGGATACTGCATGCATACATTATTTTCCCAAAGTTCATGTCATCCGAGAGTCCCCTCTTTGTTGTAATGCTTCTGTGTTTTCTTGCTTGGTTTTTTCGGTTGGACAATGTGCTTTAATCAGCATAACACAAGTATTTAACAATTTTATCATTTTAAAAAGATCAGAGGTTGTGGTATTTACTCCTATTTACTTGTCAGGGACCATGGATAGTCAAGCAGAGTGTTGGAAAGAAAGCATGCCTTGTAGGTCCAGCGCTTGAAATTAATTATTTTCGGGGAAAGAACTACTTGGAGGTAAATTTCAAGAGAATTTTTCTACAGGAAATGATGCTTTAATTTTGTTTGCATGTTAGCTACTATAGTTGGTGCAGTTAAATGTGCCCATTCTCATTATCTTTGGGAATGAATTGCTTCCACTACTGCAGAAGTTCTATATCTTTTCTTTTGCAAAAGTAAAATTGAACTATTTTTAGAATAATAAGTGCATTGACATTCAAACCCCTCCATACTCTCCATAGTGAAACATGTTTTTACGCCGGAGAAATATTTTCTCATAGTGGACCTAAAAAAGTTTTGTGATCTTTCAGCTTGATATCAATGTTGGTTCTTCTACTGTGGCAAGGGGAGTTGTAAGCCTTGTTGTTGGATATCTAAACAATCTTGTCATTGAAATGGCGTTTCTTATCCAGGTAAACGTTCATGTCCCCTTCTCCATTTAAAGCATATATGGCTTGAATTGTGTAAGGCGCCAATATTGACAATTGCATCGAATTTCAATGAGTATGACAAAGCGTATATAGTATCTTCTTGGAACACGTATTAACCATTTTTTTGAGTTCTTCACAGGCCAACACACCGGAGGAGCTTCCCGAATATCTTCTTGCAACATGTCGTCTTAACCATCTGGACATCTCTAAGGCTGTTCAAGTGAAACCGTGATCTCGTATATCTCAAAAAAAAAAATATTCTTCCATTTTATATAAGCTTGCTACAGGGTAAAATGGATGATGCCTATATAGAAAGTGCAAAAGCTTTACAAAGTGACTATTCTTTGACTCAATCAAATGTCATGCCAGCAGTCTTCTGCATTGGTCTCAGCTGTATAGTTTGCACAATATTTCTGTTTCTAACTATCAGTAAACTCCATTGTGAGAATATGTTTTTTTTTTCAATTTTACATCTAATAGTAATTTGATGTTCTGAAATCATATTGTTTAGCATATAAAACTTGTAAGTTACTATTCTTGTTCATGTCATTGCATCAAAAGTACAGAAAAATTACACTAAAACAGCAGTCACCGAAAACTGCATTAAAATAGCAACAAAAATCGAATCAAAATATTTCAGAGAATTAAATAATACAAAAAATTTAAGTTCTGAATGTAATAGTACTCTCATATTGTTTAGGAATATACATGCTACGAAAAAAAATTAAGTTCAAGAAAATAATAAGATACTCTTGTAATTCAATTATGTAATAGTAATTTATAATTTCACCATAGAGGAAAGGGTCTTCTACGACTTCTCTCTTTAGTTAATACTCCTGTTATACTAATTTACTTGGCACCTTTTTTTTTAGTCCTGTCTACAAAAATTATTATTTCCTTCGTCTCATATTAGTTGATTATTTTACTAAAAATAGTTATCTCATATTCTCATATTAGTTGTTCACCTTACTAATTAAGAAACTATTAATTAAATGTTTTCCTATATTACTCTTACAATTAGTTCTTTTTTTAAGTGTTCACATTTGATCGAAAAATTCTCAAAAAGTTTTTTAAGGGGTGAATTAGTAAAATTATCTTCTTTCTTAATATGCATATAAAAAAAATCAACTAATATAAGACGGAGGAAGTACTTTCAACCATTGAAATAATTTAACTTTAATTTTTTTATATTATTCTTAATTAAAAAAACTGTGGCCACATAAATAATCACGGTGAACTTTTTTCAGATCACAATTTTTTTTTTAAAATCCTTTTTATTTATTTATTTATTTGTTTTTATGCCAAGTGGTATGGTATGGTGTCATAAAAATTGAGTGGGAACGAAATATATATTTTCAATTTTTTTATTTTAAGCACGATAAATAGAGTGAAGATTGAGGAGGGGTATCATCACCGGTTGTAGGGTCCCTAAGGCGTGAAGAAAAGCATGAAGGATGAAATAAATAGTCTCTCCAAAACAATCACATGCTCCGCTGACTACCTAAGTTATGTAACGTTTTCTATCTTCATTTATTATTTCACCAAAATCTTCAAATCCCCAACACAAATTTCACCTATTTCCTCTGCAAAACCTCCAGAAAGTGCAGTGCAGTGCAATCAGTAATGGAATCGGCATTTTTGGACATGCAAAAAGCTCCATCTTTACCCAATTCACCTTCCAACTTTGTAACGGTGTGTTTACTTTTTGTAATTGAAATCTTTTGCCTATTTTCTTCACCTGCATTATTTTCAATTCAGAGAATTGGGCGAAATTTTACTGAGTAGAGGTAGGAATGTGGGGAGTTTCGGGTATGTTGGAGGCCAGAGGGCGGTTCCGTTTTGCCAGGAAAATTGTGAAATTTGAGAAAACGTAGATTTTGTTTGAAAATTGGCATTGTGTTTGATCATGAATATAAATTGAAACGACTATGTTCTATTGACTTGTACCACGGTAACTTTAGCCTTAACTACATGTCTTGAATTTGAATCTCTCGGTTACAGAATCTCTTTCTTTGTTGGGACGAATTCCTTTTGCATGTTCATTAGTGATTAGAAGTGAAAATAATCGTTGTGTATGTTTTTCAAATTTCGAATTTTTTTAAACTTTTATGGCCAAACATGAAATATAATCAGGTTTTAAAAATTTCGGAATTTTCCAATCTTAGGACACATCAAGGCTAAAATAAGGTTTGAATATGATCTTGGTGATTTTTTTTTTTTGGCAACCCGAATCTTTGTGGGATGCCAAATCCGAAACTTATTTATTACTTTTAGTAACAATATAATATAATGAGTTTTTAAGTATTTATTAAAAAGTTTTGAGGATAAATGAGAAGATACATTGATACTTAGAATCTGAATAGACTCCTATTTTTGGTAGGATTAAGTAGTATTGGCCTTCTAACTTACCTACTAGGTATTGCACACGCGTATTCTTCGTATAATATTTGAATACGTTACATAATAAACCTACACTATATATACATGTATATAGCACTACTTTTTCCTTTTAATTTCTTTAATTTGAACTTAGCAATTTAGGTTTCACATATTACAGCAGTGATAAAAGGTGAGATATTAGAGACATGGATTATGCATGTGTACAAATTCTTGTTTGCAAAATTAGACTTTTCCATTGGTTGCACATACTTTTTGTAATAGTATACATAGTTCTAATTACTGTTTATTGTGTTGTATATATAACTCAGAAGATTAATATGGTTGAACAAAATTATATGGATGGAATTTCAATGGGGCATGTGGTTGATGAAGATTTTGAGAGCATACTGAATGGTTTGGATTTTTCAATGCAAAATTTGGAAGCAGACGTACTCGAGGAAGATTGGGATGCGACCGTATATGGTGAATTATTTGGGCCAATTCCTTCGGAAACTCTTATGAGCTTACCTTTGGATATTGCGAATAGCTGTTTGGAGGATCGTCGTATGACCAATGCTCCTGTGAGTTTTAACTTGGCCTTGGTTTATCTTTCTTTTTCAAAAAAATCTACTTTGTAGAAATAGATTTTTTTCAAAAATTACTACTTTGTAGTAATAGGTGGCACGGGTGTGATAGTTAAGGATAGGAGTTGGGCGGGGCGGATAGTTAAGGATAGAGGTGGCACGGATGTGATAGTTAAGGATAGGAGTTGGGCGGGGCGGATAGTTAAGGATAGAGGTGGCACGGGTCTGATAGTTAAGGATAGGAATTGGGCGGGTGTGATAGTTAAGGATAGAGGTGGCACGGGTCTGATAGTTAAGGATAGAGGTGGCCTAGGGAGGATAGTTAAGGATAGGAGTTGGGCGGGGCGGATAGTTAAGGATAGAGGTGGCACGGATGTGATAGTTAAGGATAGGAAGGTGGCACGGGTCTGATAGTGAAGGATAGGAGTTGGGCGGGGCGGATAGTTAAGGATAGAGGTGGCACGGATGTGATAGTTAAGGATAGGAGTTGGGTGGGGGAGATAGAATAAATAGTTTTGTACTTCATAGTTTAAATTAGCGGGTGTGATAGTTAAGGATAGAGGTGGCACGGATGTGATAGTTAAGGATAGGAGTTGGGTGGGGGAGATAGAATAAATAGTTTTGTACTTCATAGTTTAAATTATATTTTAAATACTTTTAGACTTTAGAATGATTTTGATAGTTTAAATTCATATTTTTAAATACTTTTAGAATAATTTTGATAGTTTTAATAGTTTGTGTAACAATTGACTCACTTAAAAAACAAATTTAAAACTATAACCAATAATAACTTCTCTAATATCTAAACATTTGTCGGTTTGTGTATCATACATTAATCTATATAAACATACATTTGGAGATAATGAAATTCTTGCTTGGAAATTCAAAGCTAAAAGCTAATCAAGCATACCTCATTCTTGATTGCAAAATAATTTATGATAATATGTTATTACTCTTGATTGCAAAATAATTCATAAAATTAATATGGTTGAATAAAATTGTTTGGTTGAAATTTCACTGTAACATATTGTTAATGAAAACTTTGGGACTAGAATGATTTGTGTTTGTCTATGTAGTTAGAAATTTTGGAAGTAGATGAAGTTGGTGAACTTGGTGAATATTAAGCTGTTAGTGTCTATTTTTTCCGGTGTTTCCCAAGGAGAATGGGGTATGGTTTCTTGGTGAATATTAAGATGATACTAGTGTCTTATTAGTATAGGTGTTTCGCGGGGAGAATGGGATATGCGGTGTCTTAACATCAGAAACATTTCAATTTCAAATTAATTATTAAATTTAAAAAGATAATGTCTTAACTTTGAAATAACTTTTAATTTTATTTTTAAATACTTTTAGAAAATTTTGATAGTTTGTGTAACAATGGAATATCTAAACATTTGTGGACTTGTTACTCCCTTATGAATTTACTTTTGGTCGTTTGGAGGCTCGTTGACCGGTTTAACTTAGTTTATTTTATTATTTTCAAAAACTATGTGTGTTGCTCCTTGCTATATAACAATAAAGCAAGGTATGGGGCTATGAGGACGAGGGTGGGTGAAATGTGATGTGATGGAAGTTGGTTAAAAGATAATTAACGTGGAAATACACTTTTGAAACTTGTTTTCTCTACTTTTGTTTTTTTTTAACAAACTTGTTTTTGTACAAATACAAAGAAAAGACAAGATATTGATAAGTAATTAATGTGTGCTTACCTTGACTACTAAAGCTCCATAGTCAAATATATCTTGTTGAAGGATGACATTGTAAGATTGTATTATATGTACCTATTGGTTATTAATTCTCTCTTCCTTTGTTCTCTTTTTGCTTGTCTTTGTGTGACTCGATGAACAATCTCTCTCAAAGCGAAGTTCGAAACATACTGAGCTCTTAGCTTCGCTAAACGGATGCTTCAGTATCGTCATCAAGTTTTTAAGACATACTTTTTCATGCTAATGAGTGTAATCATAAAGAGACGATACTTTTGTTATTCATGCTTATAATGATTAGTTTTGGATGACACATACATATATATTTATGTTTTTTCTCATATATGCCACACTTCTTTGTGCTTAAATCCCCAACTGATCTTAGAGCAGAAGCCTTCACTTTTCGTCTTTGATAACACTTAGTTGTTTAATGTCAAATTTATTCTCCTCCTTGTGGAATGCCTATGTGAATTTTTAAACCATCACAATGTGTTCAAAATTATACAGTGACAAAGTTGGAAAATTGAACTCTCAAACTTCATTCTTTTGTCTCTCAATATTTTTGTTTAATCCCTTATAGTCAAGTGGTAGCATTCTAACTCGATGTTATCCTATCAGAACGAATTTCTGGAGTCCCAAGGGAATGCTCTATTCCAGACAGGAAGTCCAATTTCTGTCCTGGAGAACAACCGCTCCTGTTCTGGTGGAAGGAGTGCAATATCCTTCAACTTTGGATCTAAAGGCCGTCGCTCCAAGCGAGCACGATCATCAACTTTGAATCCATGGCTTATGATGGCTCCCATACCTTGTACAACTTCTGCAGCCAAGAAGAATTCTGATTCCAAAAGTGGAAAGTTATCAAGTGCCAAAGGGTCACCTTTATTTAAAAGGTGCACACATTGTGAAGTAACAAAGACACCACAATGGAGGGAAGGACCATTGGGTCCAAAGACCCTATGCAATGCTTGTGGAGTTCGTTATCGTTCTGGACGCCTACTCCCAGAGTATCGACCTGCTGCTAGTCCCACATTCATTCCATCTTTACACTCAAACTCTCACAGGAAAGTCGTAGAAATGAGAAGAAAAACAGTTGAATGTGACAGCCAAAACTTTGTTCCTCTGGGTAGCTATTTGTTAGATGAATATTTTTAAAGAGATTACTATAGTTTTAGTTTAGGTGCTTAATTTACTTCATCGTTGTTTTCGATGTACATACAAAAAGGGTAGGTAGGAAGTTAGTTTTCTTCTCTTATGTAAAATCTAAACTAGATGAATATTATTTTTTAGATATTTCATCTTGGAACTACTACAGTATTTCTTTTTGTGGTGGTCTCCATAGATCAAATTCTTTGGGTCAATATCTTCAAATTCTCTTATCTACATAGACAAAGAATGTAAATTTTATAATATTATTTTTTTTAAATAAAAAGAAAAATCGAAAAATCATTTAATAGTTACTATAACATGTAATTATCAGGAATGCTCATCCCACCTTTGAGAGTATAGATATTGTAAAATTGCTCCCCTCAATTACTATGTTGATCAAGTACGATCCAAAATTACATAACTACAACAATTACATCTAAAATTTAATTACAAAATATAACTACACCAATTACATCTAAATTTAGTTACAAAATATCCTTCCAAAGAGGATTTAGCTATTCATTCATCATTTTAAAAAGGAGCGAACTTACAATAATAAGGATTTAGCTAATCATTCATCATTTTAAAAAGGAGAACTTACATTAATAAGTTGAGAGAAAGTTGATTTGATTTAATAAATCTATAGCTAGTTTTTTTTTTTTTAAATAATCAATTCCCAATATATCAATGCTTTGTGTGATTACAGTTCATTGGTACTCCTTATGTTCCTAATTACTTGTCTGTTTATTCTTTTTTAGTTATCCCTAATTACTTGTCTATTTTGACAAATAAAAAAAGGACAATTCTTTTTTACCTATTACCCTCAATTAATTACTTTGAAAAAAGTAGAACTTCTTGAAAATCTTAAGTTTTTAATTCATTCACTTCATAATTAATAGAGGGTAAAAATGGTAAACTCACTATGTCAATCATTGTTTTCTTAATAGATGTGTCAATTCAAAAGTGGACAAGTAATTAGGGATAGAAGGATTATTTTTTCTTTTGGTTCAACATGTTCTCAAATTTAACTTATTCTAGTTATTCAATATGATTTTGTATGTATACATAATACAAACTTAACATAATACATAAATATGTCATTTAAGGTGTACACAAAAGACGCACATATCTATTTATTTAATTTTATACAAATTTTAGTATTTACGGGCATCTCCAACCCTACACTCTATTTTACTCTCCAAATATAGAGTTCTCTATTTTTTCATACAATCAACTCCAACCCAATTCTCTATTTTACTCTCTAAAAAAGAATTTTCTTCTCTCTCCTTGATATTATATTATTATTTCTATTTCTATTTCATTTTCTTATTTCATAATATGAACCCATTCTTTCTTTATTCAAAATAATCATCCTATATAAATTTCATGTAATATAAATTTATTTTTAAAAAAAATCTTTATTTAGTATAAAAATATATTTTATTCTAAATTTTAAAGAACAACTACGAAAAATTGAAAAAAGAAATCAACAAGCACAACCGCAATCACAAACACAACAATTCTCTAGATCATACACTATATTTTTTCCAAATATTGTTAAATCTGAAAATGGCCTACCGAATTACTAAATTATTATTGTGATTTTAAAAATCATTATGTATTGTATTGTATTGTTATCTTGTATTTAAATTATTATGTCATGTATTGTATTTTTAAATTAAATTTTTTATTTTATCATTTAAATTTGTGCATTCTTCATAGTGAAAATCAATAATAATATCAAATTATCACTTAAAGGGATGAAAATTGAAAAAAATAATAGTTAAAATATTGTTAATTCGGTATGAAAGTAGTATATACTACATAATATACATTTTTTAAACTGTTATATTATATTTAAAAAGAATTACAAATATTAGAAATTTAATTAATAACCTTATATGAAAAATAATATGTTAGTTACAAATAATAGAAATAATATTAAAATAATGAAAAAGTGAAATAGAGAGGTGAATAGTAGTTCTCCAAATAGAGAATAGAGAGCTTTTTAGAGAGTGATTGGAGACTCAATTCTCTATTTTACTCTTCAAATATAGAGAATGAAGAGTAAAATAGAGTGGGATTGGAGATGATTTAATGCACACCTAAATTCAAGTACTTGATGAAAAAAAAAAAAAGAGATCAACAATGATAAAATAAAGGGAAAAGGGTCAAAAATACCCCTCAACTGTGGTTTATTGTTTGACTTTACTCTCGCCGTTAAAATGAAGTTAAATTTACCCCTCCCGTTATTAATTTCACCAAAACTACCCCTCATTAGACAGAATCCCCAAAATCGACCCAAATTGATCCAATTACCTGAATTTAAAAAAAAAACTATTCTCTATTTTTAACCCAATGACCCGACCCCTCTAGGATAATCTGGTACCAATTAACCCAATTAACTCAATGCCCTATTACCCATTCTCATTTACCCATTCTCTCTCTAATCTCCTTTTCTCTATCAGAAGCTAAGTGAAGAACGATGAGTGGATAGTCCATTATCGGAAACATTCAGCAACAAGGTTAACCCAATGTGGACAGTGATGGGACATTCTGCTTTGCCTTTGCTGGTACGATGAGTGGATTGTCCATTATCGGAAACATTCAGCAGCAAGATTTCAGGGTAGTGTTCGATCTTGCTGGTTCTCGCTTAGGCTTTGCTCCTTGTGGCTGTGCTTAAATTAACTACACACAAAATAAAATTCAAAAAAATTTCTTCCGAATTCCCCAGCTTATTATATGTTTGATGATTTCTTTGGTTTGGGGTGGATTAGGAGAAGAGAAAGAAACATGATTAGATGTTGTGTGTTTGTATTATGTGCTAAATTAATCTTGTAATACAGGGTTAAGAGAAGAAGCAAATTACAACTATGTAGTGAGAATTAGTGTAGATTTGTAACTAAAAACACTCTGTTTTCTGTAAGATGGGGCGAAGTTAATAGTAGCTGCAAAATGTGCGGCGCTGCTTAAACTCATTGTTCTTCACTTCGGTTCTGATGGAGAAAAGGAGATTAGAGAGAGAAACGGTACATGGAAATGGGTAACAGGGCATTGGGTTAATTGGTACCGGATTATCCTAGAGGGGTCGGGTCATTGGGTTAAAAATAGGGAGTAGGGTTTTATTTTTTAAATTCGGGTAATTGGCTAAATTTAGGTCGATTTTGCGTCTAATGAGGGGTAATTTTGGTGAAATTAATAACGAGAGGGGTAAATTTAACTTCATTTTAACGGCGAGGGTAAAGTCAAATAATAAACCAAAATTGAGGGGTATTTTTTTACCCTTTTCCCTAAAATAAATTTGGTGGGATTAATTCAGTCAATTTTACGTAGACTTTTCTACTGATGGTTTATTTTTTACTTTTTTACCGTGATATATATAAGTAGGAGTATATCTGTAGTAAATTGTCGGCGGTAAAAAAGAGGTTACCCTTTATCTCGCAGTATGTCAAATATCTCCTGCCCATAATACGATACATCTTAACAGTTTGTGTCTTTTCTCTTCCCCTTTCTCCCATTTCTGCTTCAGATCCGAACAGCTACGTTTGTCTCATTTTATTTCTGAAATCATCATGTAGGAGTTTTTTAAAGCTTGAAGAGGGAATTGTGCAGGTTTATTGCACTATGTTTCAGTAATTTATTTTGTTTTTCTTGAATTTGGTTTTTGGTATTGCAAAATTGTAGGAGTGGTGAAATGGAGGTGGTGGAAGAGAAGTGTGTGGACTCTCAGTTTTGGCATGCCTGTACAGGAAGTATGGTGCAAATTCCTCCGGTGAACTCTAAGGTGTTCTATTTCCCACAAGGTCATGCTGAGCATACATATACAAATGTTGATTTCACTCTACTGCCGAGAATTCCTGCGATGATTCTATGCAGAGTTGATACTGTGAAGTTTTTAGCTGACACTGAAACTGATGAAGTTTATGCGAAAATTAGGCTTATTCCGGTTGAAGACTTTGAAGATGACAGTGTGGTTGAAAAAACTGAGAAGCCTACTTTCTTTGCTAAGACATTGACTCAATCAGATGCGAATAATGGGGGTGGTTTTTCAGCTCCGAGGTACTGTGCAGAGACAATTTTCCCCAAATTGGATCTCAAAGCTGATCCGCCTGTCCAAGTAGTGAAGGCAAAGGATGTTCATGGTGAAACCTGGAATTTTAGGCACATTTATAGGGGCACACCAAGGAGGCATTTGTTGACAAGTGGTTGGAGTGCATTTGTCAATAAGAAGAAGCTGGTTGCAGGGGACTCTGTTGTGTTTCTCAAGGCAGAGAATGATGAGCTTTGTGTTGGAATTCGCAGGGTAAAGCGGGGTGGTATTGGTGGGCCGGAAACACAATCAGGGTGGAACTCAACTACTGGTAGTTATGGTGGATTTTTGACGGAAGACGAGAACAGTATGATTAGAAGTTGTAGTAATGAAAATCTGATTTCTTATGGTGGGAGATTTAGAGATAAGGGAAAAGTGAGCCCTGATGAAATTGTTAGGGATTCATATCTCGCTGCTAGTGGCCAGCCTTTTGAAATTGTTTACTACCCTGGTGCAAGCACTCCAGAATATTGCGTTAGGGCCTCTTCTGTGCATGCTGCAATGAGTGTTCAATGGTGCTCAGGGATGAGGTTCAAAATGGCTTTTGAAACTGAGGGTTCTTCTCGGATCAGCTGGTTCATGGGAAGTATATCTTCGGTTCAGGTTGCTGACCCCATCCGCTGGCCTCATTCACCGTGGCGGCTTCTTCAGGTAATGCAGCCACTTTCAGTTTTCTGTATGGACCAATGTATAACTGCTTATCAATGTCAATTTGCCAGTTGAAATAGCTCTTGGACAAAAAAGAACTGACTCGCATCTGGTGTTTACATCAAACCAATATGCATGACATTTTTCACTTAATGCTGCCTAACTAATGTGTATTCTAACCCTTTATTTAGTATCTCTTAACAATGATACTTAACTTAGTAAAGACATATTGTGTTATTCACATTCATTTTTGCTTTTAATTGTTTCCTATTTAGCAACGGGATATTCGAATAATTGAGAAACCAATACTAAGATTGATCTTTATGCTGTGCAG